ACTTTGAAAAGTTTGATGTTGACTTCTACTCTTAAAAATCCTAAGATTTTTAAAACAAAAACTGCTTTTTACTCCACTAACAATTGCTTTTCGTGTTGTCTTTTATTTTAAGCAGAGTAGCATGTTGAAACCTGGAGAAGAAACTGTGATGAATGAAGTGGTCGACAAGATATTTCGGGCAATGCAGCAACTTCAGAGAGGTCAGTGTTGTTTTGTCACGTCAGCTTGCCGGACGTGGGAAATTTAACTATTTGCCACTCTTGTGACATGGCAATTAACGATTTGCCACGCTCTGTCAATGACACGTGGGCCCTCATGTGTCTATGACATGTGGGCCTAGTGGCAAATCGTTAAGGACCATTCGTAAGAGTGGCAAATAGTTAAAAGCCCCGCCGGACGTAGCTGAAAGATTCAGATTTTGAAAATAAGTTTTGGAGGGTTTATTTTTAAAATTAAATTTTAAAAAGATTAAAAAAATCATGTTTATCAGCTTTTTGCGGTGGTACTGATAACTAGCTGATGGACACTAGCGACATTGTTTTATAATATCCAAATAAAATGAAGAGAGAAACAGTCGCAAAAATACGATATTGCCCTTGCATGCCAAGTCCAGCTCGCATACAGCTCCGACACCACCACCACACCCGCCGCCGCACCCATTGTCACCGTCACCAATGAGGTGGCTCTTCCGGGGGGTTTGAGGGTGGCCCACGCCGCCACGCGCCTGGGCTCGTGGCTCCGTGTCATTCCCGCACTCGTCGCTGCTACAGCTCGAGGACCGCGCCGATGCTCCACCATACGCCACGCTTGCAAGCGAGCACAACGTCGACCACCTCTTGGTTCATGTCAAGCAGGGTGTCAAAGAGCGCAGGCGGTCATAGTCGGTCTGGCCATGGCGCCGCTGTCGCCAGCGAGGTGGCTCTCTGGGGATTCAAGGGGGCCCGCTTGCCTAGGCCCGTGGCTGCCCCATTACATAGGCCCGTGGCTCCATATCGTTTCAGCACTTGTCGTTGCTACAGCATGAGGGCCACGCTGGCGCCGGAAATGTCGTCGCCTCCATGTCGTCGGAGCTATATGCGAGCCGCACATGACATGCAAGGGTAAAATCGTACTTTCACGGCTATTTCTCTCTATTTCCAACAGCTAATTACCAGTTTTTTGCTGTGGGACAGATACATGGTCTTGCACTGTCTCCTAACTAATTACTTTGCTTTTTCGATGTCCTGTAGGAAATTTTGCCATGGTAAAAGTCCATAATCTGATAGAAAAGTGCCCGCATATCTTAACTAATAAAAAAATTGCTATCCTTCCTATCGTCAACAATTTTTCGTCCGTATGTGCGTTTTTTTTCACTTTCCACCTTTTTTTAGCGCTGCTTTTTTTAATCATCCAATCGGACAGAAACACAGATCGAGAACCCTAGAAAAAAGGGGCAAAAGAGAGGAAAAAATCACACAAATGGGCAAGCTTAGAGTCGCCAGATACGGTTGTTCCGAGCTCATTGCCATCGTCGTCCACTGCGCTCGTGTCGTGCCCGAACCAGCCGGGCACGACCACACTTGCCACCTCCCCAACCGCGCTGGCACCCCTTTCCTCTACCACGACGCCCCATCCTCTGGCGCTCTCCTCTTGCTTTAAGGCAGAGGAGAAGAAAGAAGGACGGCCGTCGCCACTGTCTCCGTGCCTAGCCCTGTCATCGAGGTTGATGGGGAGACGGGAAGGGTAAGAGTCGTCATCGTCGCTGTACCTCCGCCATCGCTGCACCACAAGATGGGAGGGACAGGGGGAGATGGAGTGGCGCCGCCGGTGGGGGGAGGGGGGAGGGGGAGGGGGAGCGGCATCGTCGATGGGTGAGGGGGAAGGGGAGCGGTGCCGCCGGTGGGGAGAGGCGCTACCAGTGAGGTAGGGAGAGAAGGAGCGACGGAGGGGGATAGGTGCCGCCGACGCCATCATTTTCAGAGAGAGAGAAGGGGAGGGGAAATAATTTTATAAGATCATAAGGCGGTTTGGATGGTGGTTTTGCCTAACGTGGCGCCTACGTGGCGTTGATGTGGCACAAAAATTCAAAAAAAACCCAGGAGTATCCGATTAAAAATAAAAAAATACAATGGGAACAGGGGCGGGGTTAGGTTTTTCAACTTGGGTATTCGAAATTGTAGGAGAGAAAATTTTCCAACCCAAGATCTAATAGTTGTATAATATGCAACGGTATAAGCATGATTTCATAAAGTCATAAATGGATAGAATTGACCATAAATTGAATGCGTTAAACATATTAGAGTACATTACTAAACTATTAATTGAAAAAACATATCAAATTTATAGACCATACAAAATGGCAAAATGATAAGAACTCTTACAATATAGAGAAGAACTTTCCGTTTCTTGATATTTTGAAAATGATTGATGATGTCTTCATTCTTAACTTGCAAGAAGAAATATCTTTCAATGAATATAACCAAGCAATCATTCAAATATTCTTGCCCCATCTTGCTTCTTAACTTGTTTTTGATATAGTTCATTGAAGAGAAAACCCTCTCAACACTAGCAGTTGCAACAGGGAGAACTAACACAAATTTCAGAAGTTTGTAAACAAGGTCATAGCGAGAAACCTTGTTTGTTTTCACAAGCATCATAGACAGGTCTGCCAAACTCATCAAATTTGTGAAATTCTCATCCTTACTCACATCACTAATATAGCGGTTCAGTTGAAAGGTGAGTTGGTTCATTTCTTCAACATCAAAATCATTAGGATAGAACTTGGCAAGCTTAACTAAGTTGTCAACATTAAAATCAGAGAAGGATTTAGCTGGGCTAAATGATGACATGCATCTAAGTAACTCTGGGTTTACCTCATCAAATTTGTTATTGAGCTCTTGAAGTTGCCTATCAATGACACCCAAAAACATATCGGCATGGAATCGATGGTAATTAATAGCATTTTTGAAGAACTTCTTCGACCTTTGTATAGGCTTATAATTCCCATCCTTGTCAACAACTTTAACTTTGTGCTTCACACAAAAAGAAGTGACCCTCTTAAGAAAGTCTTGCCATCCAGAATCTTCTCTCAAAACATTAAGTTCTACCTTTGTGAATCTTTTTACAAGACATCCCAAGGACATTCAACAAATATGCAAGTTGCCCAAAGAACCATGCACAATCAGTATTCTCCTTAGCAATAACTACAAGGGTTAGTTGAAGTTGATGAGCAAAACAATGTACATAGTAAGCTCAGGGGGACTCATCCATAATTAGTTTCTTCAAACCATTAATATGACCCTTCATGTTACTAGCACCATCATATCCTTGTCCACGTACCTTGGATAAAGGTAGATGGCACTTAATAAGCAAGGACTTAATTGCCTCCTTAAGAGTCAATGATGTAGTATCTTCAACATGGACAAGACCAAGAAACCATTCAACTAGTTGCCCCGTCTTATTGACAAACCGCAAGCAAAGAGCCAATTGTTCTTGTTGGTAGGCATCACTAGGCTCATCAGCAAGAATTGCAAAACACTCATCATGAAGTTCCTCTATGACAAGTTTAGTTGTTTCATGAGCACAAGAACTAATGAGTTGTTTCTGAATCTTGTGGCCTATCATCTGACAACTAGTTGGAGCATTTCCTAGAACCACCTTATTAACTTCTTCAAAGTTCCCAGCTATCCATTGCACAAGTTCCCTAAAATTTCCTTTGTTGTTAGAATCCTGACTCATCATGACCACAAAAAGCCAACCCCTGCCGCAAAAGATAGCTTATGCACTTGAGTGACCATGTCAAGTGAGCTAAATATTGAGCCTAAACCTCTGCGGAGTTTGATGCGAAGGACTCACGAATTGATGTCTTAGGTTGTATGAACAAATTGTATTTTTCTTCAGCTTCACAATATGCACTATTGACAGCACCAGCATGTTTACTAAATCTAATTTTCATGTTCTAATTTCTATGCCTTCATTAGCAAAAGCATCTCCACCATGATTGCTAGTGCTATCTTTGAACAAATAACAAACAAAGCACTATGCAGCATCTCTGTGCACACTATACTCAAGCCACTTAAACTCAGAAAACCACTTTGGCAGGAAGCGACGCATACCTCCACACTCATGCTGCGGAAAATCCTCCTTCTTCATCTTTGGTTGACAAGGGCCCAATGCAATATACTCCCTTCTAACTGAATCTTGGTCATTGACATCATATTGTGATATAGGAATCCTCAATCCAGGATCATGCTTTATGTCATATGCACCACCATTATTGTCTTCATCACTTGATGACTCATCATTTGGCCCTCCTCCAATATCATCGGTCTCTACATCAGGCGGTACTGTGCTTGGACTGCTTTCCCCACTAGCACTCTCATTCTCAGGCTAACCTTGATATATCACTACTTGCACCTGACTCTCAATACACGAAGGTTGACTTGGACCAATGGAAGAAGGTTGACTTGGACCAGTTGGTTCTTGCTTTTTTGTTTTGCAGCAGCATTTTCTAAAAATTAACAATGGGACCCTTTTTTCTCTTCATGTTTCAAACCTACAAACAACAATATCAAAGAGCAATTGAGCAAAGCAGCACTGGTTCAGTGGTTCCTAAATCCTAATCTAGTTAGTCATTCACAAACAATGAAGCTAAAATAATCAACACACTTCAGTTCACCGACTCGGCGACTCACCGTTGCAACCGCTTGCTATCTTGCTGACTATTGTCGAGGTCTCGAGGACGGGAGGCGGCGAGGCGCGCAGGCGGCCGCCGGGCGCGGGGCGCCGCCGCGCTGGCTAGGCGCGAGGCGCGGAGGCAGCGAGCCGGCGAGGGGGCTGTGGCCTGTGGGCGACCGGCGGGGCGACGCCGCGACCGGCGACTGCGAGGCGCGCATGCACAGGCGGCTGGGCAACGAGACCGGCGACGGCGAGGCGCGCGCATGCAGGCGGCTGAGCTAGCACGGCGACGGCGCGTGTGTAAGCCTGGAGGGCTGGCGACAGCTGGCGTGCAGGCATGGGCGTGGCACCTGGGATGGGAAGGAAGGTGAGGAGAAGAGATAGGGTTAGAGAGGTAGTGGGCTTTTCTTTGCTATTGGGCCAATGGGCCTGAAATAGTGGGTGGTGGGAGGGTTCAGTTTGGGCTTCTTTTGAGTTTTGAATGGGTATAAGCATTTTTCCTTTTTTCCTATATATACATATGGAATATATACTTCATATATGCATTTTTTTTTCAAAAATCTTGGGTATTCATTTGAATACCCATGAATTGAAGTGGGCCCGCCCCTGAATGGGAACGCGTCATCACTCATCACCCCCTCCCTTTTTCTTCTTCTCTCCCTTCCTCGTCTCTCTCCCATGGGGGTCGCATAAAAGGTAGGCAATCTCGAATAGTCTAATCCCAAACCGAAGAACCATAAAAAAATCATCTGTAAGTCCGACCGAGCGACGACCTGCGTCCCCGCACGCGTGATGTGTTCGTCACATACGCCGCCCAAAGGGAAAAAAAATTAGAGATCAAATCAAAATCCTAATCACGTACAGCGGACAAATCCCAAAATCAAATATCGATTAAAAACCCAATTGTGGCAAATAACATCCAGAGTCATCAAATAACACAAAAAAAAACCAAACCAAAATTAAGAAGTTTAATGTATAGTGATCCAGACATTTTTTTTCTGGTTGGTATAAAAAAAGGTATATATATAGGACATTTAGATGGATGTAGAGAATTTATTCCAAGTGAGACCGCTCATTAGAGCAAGTTTAATAGTGTAGCCAACTATGGGCTGCAAATCATTCATAATCTATTATATACTAAAAGTCCATTAAACTTCTTACAAATGCTCCTAAACTGCCACGTGGCGCTCCTACAAACGCTCCTAAACCGACACGTGGCAATTTCAATCTAACCGTCGGTTTTCACTTAAATTTATGGGTCCGTTATTTTAAACCATTAGATTAGATCTATTTAAAAGGTCCCGCTTCAGATTATTATCAGATATATACAAGATATTTTTACGAGAAAAATTGGCATGTATTTCGATCAGATATAAACCCTGTTCGCTTAAGGAAAACAAATCAACATATGTACGTACAGCTGTAGAGCGAAAACAAAAATACTACACCGTATGTTGATAGAACCTATAATAGACAGTCTCTAAAAATAAGATTTTCTATACATGGCACTTTCTAATCTAACCGTCGATTTTAACTTAATTTGGTAGCTCCGTTATTTTAAACATTAGATTAGATCTATTTAAAAGGTTCTGCTTCACCTCATTGTCAAGTATATACCAGATATTTTTTTTAGAGAAAAATTGACCTATTTCGATCGGATATAAACCCTGTTCGCTTAAAGAAAAATAAATCAAAATTCGTACGTACAGCTATAGAGCCCAAAAAAAAAATACACCCTGCATGGATACAACCATTAAATAATAGATGGTCTCTATAAAAATATTTTTTATACTATAAAATAAAACTTATTACTTCACAAATATATACGGTTAAACTAGATTAATATAATATATCAAATCAATCGTCTTTAAATATCCATTTTTAAAATTATTTTTGAAATATATATCTAACTTATAATCTGTTGTATTCCTTTAATTAAATAAACTATTGATCACATATAATAGTTATATTATAGTGCTAAATACATGGGGCCGACATATAATATTTCACGTCATAATTATTTTTAAATAACTTAGCCAATATATAATAATTAATGTCATTATAATCTTTTTTTAAATAGTTTCACATGATAGAAAGGATCAACATGGTCTCAAATATAGCTTGACAAATAACACTAATTCAAATCCACATGCAGGGAGAGTGGAACAACATTGTGGTTTTTCAATTAGATTTGATTTAATTTTAGTCAATGTGAGATTAAGATTCTCATTTTTTTTATAACTTTTTAGAATAATTTGATTGGAATTTCCAAACTATGATCTTGCCATAATACAACCCCTTAATCCATCACGGGAATTATGGTCATATATATCTTTTCTTTGCCAAATAGATATGGTAACAAATCAACAATCCTATTCATTCAACTTTTATCATATATTTTCTTATAGTAGATGATCTATACCATACACCCTACCAAAGTGACTATAAGTGCACTCTAACGAATTAATTACTTCAAATAATTTTGGAAAAAATAAATATATTCTTTGGATTAGCAAAGATGTCTGTCGCGATCATATATCTGTTTAGCTATAACTTTTTAGTGATCAGCCTCGCTCATTTCAAAAGAGAACATTGTATCTATATCATAAAAAATTAAGCAGTACTGATTAACACCGTAAACGATTGTGTCTACACAAAATTAAAAGAAACAATTTTTCATTGGAAAAATACTTTCATCACGTACCTTCTCTCTTTTTATTCCTTGAAGGTCACCAAGCATGCTATGCAAAATAAACCCATTTCTATACTTTTATATGCTCATATTTTTTTAACAAATACTACGAATATATTGAAAAAAAAAACAAGTAGAAGCGGATAGATCTTTTTTTAAGTAGAAGCCGATAGATCTTAATAAATCAATAAAGCTCTTAACTGAGACATATTAAACTTATAAAGCACAAACAAAAGATAATGGTAATATTGTTTCACCAAATTTACTTAATGCGATGGACCTATTATTTTATACCATCTTAAGAACTCAAAACCATTTATCTATGTTAAAAAACAAACTCCCTTCACCCAACCCAACCATATGGATCCTCTCCACTGCTATTATATGTGCATGTACTCTCTCCGATTCAACTTCTTCCTCTTCCTTTCTCTAACTAACAACTTGTAAACATAAAAACAATCAATAACGAGAAAGCTGAAAAATCATAATTATTAATCCTTTAGTTTGTTTGAACTATTGATTTATTTATAATCAAATAAATAATTTAAGATCCATATTAATCATATTTTTTACTTTATAAAAAATTAAAATATATCATTTGAACATAGACCCCTGTCCTTTGTATGCCAACCAAATAATAACAACATTAATGAAACAACATAAATAAATAAAATGACAGCATGCATCCCGTGCATCATAGGAACTAGAAAACATAGATTCTTTATCTTTCGTATACTTAGGATTATTATTGTTGTAATTTACTTTTTGGTTTGGATAGTTTTCGCAACTATTATATCTATTTACACAAATCACTCTAAATCCTTTGCAGCGCTCTTAACTCACCACGTGTCAAGTACTAAAAATTAGAACAAAAAAAATTCCAAGGGAAAAAAACATTTGACAATGGGTTTTCACTTAAGTCAGTGGATTCATTATTTTCAACCATTAGGTCTTCCTTTAGAAAAAATCTTAAGCCGCTATGTGTCACGTCTTCAAAATTAGAAAAATCTTAGAAACTATAAGAAAAAAGCAAAACATATGATCATTGGTTTTAGTTAAATTATTTAGAAAAATAAAGTCCCCAATGCATCGCCCTTCCCAGAACATGCATTCACACAACACTGAACGCCCCCTTCCCCCTTGGCTCACACTCTCCACTCTCCACTACTCCCCCCTTCTAATTTTAAGCTATCAAACTAAAACACAAACTATTAATAATAATTGCAAAGATCGTATTCTTAAGCTATAAATCTAATTTTTAATTTAATTGTTGCTCTTTTAAATAATCAAACCAAAAATACATGATCCATAATGTCTGTATTTTTAACCTAAAATGTCTGTATTCATAAGTAGAAAAATGTCAATAGGGATTGAATTAAATCAATTGGACAAAATATAAAAAATTTGTAAAACAAATAGTTATTACTTTTCAAAAACTGGATAACCATTGTACAATGTTCGATTGCCATAACCATCTTTAAGTGCTTAGATGTTAATGGCCTTCCATCCATCCTACACCATGGCATTACGAGTTTCTCAATGTATTATTGCATATACAAGACACATTAAGGTAGCAGTGCGTAGAAGTACGTAGTTGTGGTTAAAAAGTTATGCATTGCTACTATTAACTTTAAATTTAGGACTCATATTGGCTAGATATTTTTTTTAGAAAACGCTATAGATCACATATATAATAGGGAAGCGAGGTATACAATATGTATATCTCCTATGTATTTATTGACACGTTCTTTCCAGAAAATGAAGAATTATTGACAATTGCTTGTAGTAATGAATTAAATATTATATAGTTCAAATCTTACAAAAATATTGTAAAAATTATCTAAGCAATGTAGATGGAGAAAATTTATGAAGAAATTAAACTTTTCAAGCGTGACAGGTGTCATCCGGTAGATATTCCACCTTACAAGTTAGTCAAGCGTATCCTATTTTACGTGCCCGCGCGAATGCGCGGGCTACCTTCCTAGTTAATTTAATAGCCAATTCATACAATTGCCTATTATCTGGTCCCACATGTCATGCACACATGTATATTGGAGTCCGTGCTGAAGCTAGCTACAAATCTATAGTCCGCAGCTCTTCTCTTCCTCTTTTTATCTCCTTAAAATATGTTTGTAGCTGATTTATACCCTGTACTTGCTTTTAGAGCAAGTTTAATAGTATTCCAATTCATTTATAGCCAATCTAATAGCCAATTCATACCATAGTTGCTTACTATACTACTAATATATGGTCTCACCTGTCATACACACATTGCGTTTTGGAGTCCGCGCTGCAGCTGGCTACAGATCTGTAGCCCGCTGTTTTTCTCTCTCATTTTTTATCTCATAAAAATATGATTATAGCTAGCTAATAGTGCGTCCCACGCAAAAGCACACGCACAAACAAAAAAAAAAAGAAAGCACACGCATAAACAAACTACACACACAAAAAAAAAAAAAAAAGCACACGCCGTTATATTCTCCACCAACTAAACGCCGTGGTCGTCGTCGCTTCGTATTCCATTTTTCCGCTTTCCTCTCTCCCCCGAATCCCCAATTCGCCCTAAACCCTGCTAGAACAGCGGCGAGCAGTGTCCTGCCATGGCCACCGCCGCCTGCGGCGAGAGCCCTTCGCGGTTGGGCTCCGCCTCCGCCATCGTCGCCGACACGGAGACCAGGTACCACCTCCTCAAGATCGGCTGCTACTCGCGCACCAAGGCGACGACCCCCACCGGCTCCTTCCTCAGTTCCGGCCAGTTCACCGTCGGCGGCCACCGCTGGCGCATCAATTACTACCCCAATGGGGAAAGCGCCGACTCCGCGGATTACATATCGCTTTACCTCTTGCTAGACGACAAGGCCACCAATAGCAGTGTGAAGGTGCAGGCACAGTTCAAGTTCCAGATTAGTTCCACCGACCAGGTGAAGAACACACCTTCATTGGCATCCACGAATGTAAATACATATGGTGAGGATTCTAGCTGGTCTTGGGGTCACAGAAAGTTCATCAAACGGGAAGATTTCGAGAAGTCCAATGATCTCAGGGACGACTCCTTCACCATCCGGTGCGACGTAGCGGTTATCGGAGAGATCCGAACTGAGAAGACGACCGAGATCCCATCAGCCACAACATTCGTCACTGTACCCCCGTCTGACCTGAACCAGCAGCTCGTCGACCTGCTGGAGACCGAGAAGGGCGCCGACGTGGTGTTTGAGGTCAGCGGTGAGACGTTCGCGGCGCACAGATGCTTGCTAGCAGCCCGGTCGCCGGTATTCAGCGCGGAGCTCTACGGCTTGATGAAGGAGGGCGACACCGCCGGAGTCGTGCGTATCGAAGACATGGAGGCGCAGGTGTTCAAGCTGTTGCTCCGCTTCATGTACACCGACTCGTTACCAAAGATGGAGGAGGAAGACGTCATGTGGCAACATCTGCTTGTCGCGGCAGATCGGCATGATCTACAGAGGCTCAAGCTGATCTGCGAGGACAGGTTGTGCAACTACATTGGCGTCAGCACGGTGTTGAACATCCTGGTGCTTGCTGATCAGCATCACTGCGACGGGCTGAAGAAGGCGTGTTTTAGTTTTCTTGGCTCACTGGAGAACCTGAGTGCTGTTGTCACCGGCGATGGCTTGGAGCATCTGAGCAGGAGCTACCCCTCTCTTATGAAAGAACTATTTGTTGTGATGGCACTTCCACCGAATCATGGTTAATATTCTTGTGCTCTAGCAATGATAGTTGTTGGTTTCTCAATCTGAAGTTCTGAACCTTTCTCATCAGGTAGATATGTTATCTTCTTTTAGCACGCAGGCATGGTGCTGTACTCCCTGTGTATATATGCTTTTGTTATCAGGTATACTATGAAAACCAAAACTTCAATGTTTTACTGCTTTTGATCAAGAATAGTGACTTGACTGGAGTTAATTTGAAGAAAACAGGCTGGCAGGGCCCGTCACTTGTGTCTGAATATGATGTATCATATTCTTCAGGTGCCCTGTTAGCTGCTGCAGTTTATGTTTGTTGGACTACTAGCTATGCTTTTAAGTTCAGTTGGCTACCTTTAAGTGTGCCAATTTTGTCAGGATCCTGGCTAGCTTCTTTTCTGAAACATGATAAACTGGTTATTGTTATCAACTTGTCATGCATTCATGCTAACTAGTTCTGAGGGAGCTTAAGCTGAGCATTATTTTTTTTCTCCCTGCTGTATGAGGGTTCAGAAACTTTTGGATGCTTATTAATTATGTAACCGTCACCTATCTTATGTTGGCTATGAATACACGATGCTAAGGGTTATCCCTCCCCTGTTTCCTTACAAAAGTTCTTTACTATTGTTCATGTTAATTCAAGAAATATTTTTGCTAGTCGTCAGATAAATTTTTGATAGCTCATTGCATTTCAACAAGTCCTGAAATTCTTGTTGCATATACTCCATATGCATCAAAACTTGAAATTTACGCAAAGTTAGTACTCCTAACTGCTGTTGTTGCCCCTGGAAGCTAAATCTGGCAACATATAAACAATGGACAATATCAGTGTGCATTGTTCAGCGAACATGTGACTTAGATCATGAATAGTGGAAGTTTCTCACTATCCTCAGCCTACAACCTGTTCTTCCTGGCGCGCACGCATTCTTTGTGTGGCGAGCTGATCTGGCAGACGAGGGCGCCTTCTCTAGTGAAGTTTTTCATGTGGTCGGCGACAAAGGGAAGATGTATCACGGCGGATAATTTGCAGAAGCGTGGTTGGCCTCACCATTCTAGTTGCTCCTTGTGCCAGGGGATCCAGGAAAATTGCCACCAATCGAGCGTGTGACTGTGGAGAATGCTCAAGGGGTGGATCACTGCCCCGTTTCAGCTTCCGGCAGAGAGTGGTGCTCAGCTTGTGGACTGGTGGCTGATGGCAAGGTTGGTCTTTTGAGCGAGCTACAGGAATTAAAGCTCTCGTTTCACTCTTCGTGATGGTTTATTGGATGATTTGGAAGGAGCGTAATGCCCGGATCTTCGAGCAGAGATCGCGCACAGCAGGTCAGCTATTTAGTGGCATCAGAGAGATCATGATCTGGAAGGAGGCTGGAATTTTTCGGCAATGTGATTAGCTGCTAATTTTTCTTTCTCTTTCTTCCTTTTGGGGCGGCACCGCGGCAGCCATTTGTGTTGTTGCCTGAATCGGCAGCCTAATTTAGAACTTGTAAGGTTCCTACCAAACTCTGTTAACCATTTAATCTTTAAGTGTCCCCCTGCTCTTTTCCTTTGGTGCTGTGTGAGGGATGCGTTAGGCTGGAAAGTAGCTCCTTGTTCTTGTGAGGAGGTGCAAAATTTGATTCTAGACAATGTTGTCACGATAGGAAGTAATCTTACTGTGATTGCAGCTGGAATGTGGGCGATTTGGAAAGTTAGGAATGACTGGGTGTTTAGGAATGTTTTGATGAATAATGTGATACATTTGCCTTAGAAGATGCTTTCGTTTTTAAAATAGTGGAGTCCTTTGGTACCCGAGAAACGAAGGATCTGCTGGAGGAAATCAGGGGCTTGCTCGATGCCAAAATCCGGCAATCCACGTAGAAGCAGATGGATGATGGCGATGAAGAGGATGAAGACTGGAGGCTTTGCACTGAACCTGGATTGACTATAGTGCCTGGAATGTTTAGGCTTTTCGGTCTTTTGTGTGTTGAACTTGGGCTTTTCTGTTTCAAGCTGGTGTTCCCAGCATCTGTATCGAGCCTATTAAGCTTTTGAGTAAAGCCGGGCTCCCAGAGCCTTTTCTCTAAAAAATTTAGAACTTGTAAACTTTGTAACTATCTATTATTCTTAATAAAATTTGGTCGGCCGACCTGGCAAAATCATGAATCAAGTCAAACTGCACTCTGATAACAGCAGCATTTGATTCTTCAGTAGATGACATATTGACAAGTACCCTGTTCTTTTCTCCAACAAGAGTTGGATAAAGATTATGATTTTCGTGGCACACTTTTCACACTGCTAAACGGTGTGTTTCGTGCGAAAACTTTATATATGAAAGTTGCTCTAAAATATCATATTAATCTATTTTTCAAGTTTGTAATAATTAAAACTCAATCAATCATATGTTAATACCACCTCGTTTTGCGTAAAAAACTTAATCTGCATCTTTATCTTCAGGAGAAAAGAACACCAAAAGAAGTGTGTGTGTATATATATATAGAGAGAGGCTCTATTATACACCCTTCTCTTAGAATAACTATTCTACACCCCCCTCCCACCTTCCATCCGTCCCCACCTCCCTCCCGCGCTCCCTCTCCCTCTCCCTCTCGCGCCTCCCCCCAATCTCTCCTTTTCTTCTTTTTTTTCTTCTCTCCCTCCTTCTATCTTTTTTAGAAAAAATAAATTTGCGTAAAAAACTTAATCTGCATCTTTATCTTCAGGAGAAAAGAACACCAAAAGAAGTGTGTGTGTATATATATAGAGAGAGAGAGAGGCTCTATTATACACTCTTCTCTTAGAATAACTATTCTACACCCCCCTCCCACCTTCCATCCGTCCCCACCTCCCTCCCGCGCTCCCTCTCCCTCTCGCGCCTCCCCCCAATCTCTCCTTTTCTTCTTTTTTTCTTCTCTCCCTCCTTCTATCTTTTTTAGAAAAAATAAAAATAAATTGGTGGATTCAAGACTTGATCCCATGATCTCATGGTTTATGGTGAGCACTTCTAACCAAATCACCATATGATGATTTGTGAACAAATCAGTTATGTACCTATAACAATCATACCTTGTTACTATGATTCGGCTGTAACATTATCCCAGAAGGGTAGTAACATTATATGTTACTGCAAAAATGTATAGGTTGTTACTGCACTTTTTACAGTAACAATATGATGAAATTTGCAGTAACAGAGAACATGCATAGTAACAGTGGCCCTATAGTAGTAATGTTTTTTAGATCTAGAGTATTTTAAATCTCAATCTTTAGAGAGTACTAACGTACATGTGTCATGTCTTATTTTTCTAACCCATTTGCATCATGGCGTTCGTAAAAAAAAGTGCTTAATGAAACTAGAACCATAATAACTATTTTTTAACGTTGTTACTGTGAAAAGCAGACGTGTTACTGCATATTAGCCGTCGTGTTAATACGCTGTTCCAGTGAGACGAGGACTAAAAAATAGGTAAATCTCAATCTTTAGAGAGCAATATCTCTCACATTATATCTTGTATTTCCAAATCGTTTGCACCATGAAGATCATAAAAAAACGCTTAACGAAACTAGATCCATCATGGCTACTTTTTGACGTTGTTACTGCGATAATGTTGTCCTGTTACTGCACGATGACCGTCCTGTTACTGCACGATTCCTACAAGACAAGAGCAGCAAAGTGGTAGGTGGGGGAAGGAGTGGTGGGCGGGTTTGACCGGCGGGAGGACGCTTTGACCGAGGTGGGAGGGTTTTGGGCCCAAGGGAGGTTGGGGGAGGTGAGTTTGACCCATGGGAGAGGGGTGTAGAATAGTTATTCTAGGGGAGGGGTGTAGAATAGATTCACTATATATATATATATATATATATGGGTGGTGTTCTTTTCTCTGGAGATTAAGATGAAGTTTTTTACGTAAAACGAGGTGATATTAACGTATGATTGATTGAGTTTTAATTATTACAAACTTAAAAAATAGATTAATATGATATTTTAGAGCAACTTTCATATAGAAAGTTTTCTCACGAAATGCACCGTTTAGCAGTTTGAAAAACGTGCCACAAAAATCTTTATCTTCATCCAACTCTTAAAAGAAATGAACGGAACGATAGTCAATGTCCCTTTGACAGGATTGTTTTGCTTCCTTTATACAGTTTCCCCTTGTTTGATGGAGACCAGGCAGTAATCAAGAACGGCCGATCAGTTTGAGTCCTGAATCTTCACATATTCCTAACCACGCAAGTCAACCAAGATTAGTACTAATTCGTTATAAAATAAGTAATATGGTTTAACAAGCAAAATTGGGATTCTTATGGGACTCCAAAGATCAGTACTAATCCTATTCTAGTAATTATTAATGCAGTAATTTTGTTAAGTACATCCCTTCGTCTCTTTGCTCCGTGCTGTCCGCCCTAAACCTATACACAAGAGCATCGACAAGCTCGCCATCAAAACATTGTCCTGCCTGCCATGTCCTGTTCCGCCATTGTGGCCGACGGGGTGACCGGGTACCACCTCCTCAAGATCGACGGCTACTCGTTAACCAAGGGCACCCCCACTGGCACGGCCATCAAATCCAACCCGTTCACTGTCGGCGGCTACCGCTGGTGCATCACTACTATCCCAATGGGGAGTTCGTCGGCTCCGCTGATTACATATCGTTCTTTCTCTCTCTAGACGAACGGACTAACCCAATTTTGAAGGTGCAAGCCAAGTTCCAGATTAGTTTCGCTGACAAAGTGAATTAATTACAAGCAACAACATAACATAATGTCCACGACAGTAAGGACTTTTGGTAGTGACTAGTGAGTATACGACTTGGGGTTTTCCCAAGTTCATCAAAACCGAGGATTTCGAGAAGTCCGACTACCTCAGGCACGACTCGTTCACCGTCCGGTGTGACATGGTCGTTGTCCGCAAGATCCGTGCCGAGAAGGGGAAGACTGACCCACCTCGCCGAGACCTTCGTGTCCGTGCCCCCGTCCGACATGAACCGGCAGCTCGGCGACCTGCTGGAGACCGAGAAGGGCGCCGACGTGGTGTTCGAGGTCGCCGGCGAGAGGTTCGCCGCGCACCGGTGCGTGCTCGCGGCGCGGTCGCCGGTCTTCGGCGCGGAGCTGTACGGCCTGATGAAGGAGGGCGACGCCGCCGTGGTCGTGTGCATCGAGGACATGGAGGCGCGGGTGTTCAAGCTGCTGCTCCGCTTCATGTACACCGACTCGTTGCCGGAGATGAAGAATAAGGACGCAGGCGTCATGTGCCAGCATCTGCTCGTCGCGGCGGATCGGTACAACCTGGAGAGGCTGAAGCTGATATGCGAGGAGAAGCTGTGCAAGCACATTAGCATGGGCACGGTGTCGAACATGTTGGTGCTCGCTGATCAGCACCACTGCGCCGGGCTGAAGAAAACGTGCTGCAATTTTCTCGGCTCATCGGCGAACCTGAGTCCTATCAGCAGGGGCTGCCTCTCTGTTATGAAAGAGCTTGTGTTAGGATGCTGGTGCATCCACTGAATTAGTGTGTTCTAGCATTTGGTTTAACCTTTCTCTCATCACGTAGTTCTCTTCTCCTGTTTTATCATGAAGACTTGCAGTTGTACACACTGTTTGAAAATAAAAAAAGAAAAATAGGAGAAAAAAATATGACAGAAAAGAAAAATAGGAGAGAAAAAAAAAACCGAGAGAAGCAAAAATTACTTTCGAGGGTTTAGTTATGGAAGCCCTACCCAACGGAATTTTCCACGTTCGCCGAGAGAATGACACCATCATCCTGGGCTATATTTCAGGAAAGATCCGGTCTAGTTCTATACGAATACTGATGGGGGATAGGGTCAAAATTGAAGTAGGTCGTTATGATTCAAGCTCTTTTGTGCTAGGTATATCCGTATATGATGTTCGTAATTCCATAAAATTTATATGAGTTACTCCCTCCGTCCCATGAAAGGATTTCGACTTTTTACTTACACTATTTGACCATTCATTTTATTTAAAAAATTTGTGCAAATATAAAAAATAAAAAGTTGTGCTTAAAGTAATTTGGAAATAAAGTAAGTAAAAAAATAAAAAAAATTTCAAATTTTTTTAATAAGACGAATGATCAAACAGTGTAAACAAAAAATCAAAATCTCTTATATTAGGGACGGAACCGGCTCCTGTGACATAGAGAATTCTACGTCAGAGGGATGTTGGACTTCCGATCGCCGTCGCTTGCGCATCCAATGGCTCCTGTCCGCGTGTGATGATAGCCTTCTCGTTCGGCCCATAAGCCCATTCGTCGCCATCAGATTGCTCTAGCATCGTCTGCCGGAGCCGCGATAGCGTGACGGTGAGCTTGGGCACACAGCTGAGCAACTGGACGCAGCCCTCCCATGCGCTGTCCTTGATGGGCTCCGTCTTGGCCAACAGGTCCCCTGACGACGCGGACGATGAGCACCTGCGGTTCGGCAGCGCCGAGAGAAGCGCCAGGTGTAAGTGTCGCCCGATGAACACGATGATGTGTTAGAGTTTGTGTCGAATATGTGTACGTAGTCGGTTACAGTTTAGAACTTGGAGTTGTAATAGGTATTAGGATTAGAGTATGAGTCGGACTCTATCCTAGGATCTCTCATAAATAGAGGGGCGTGCCTGTTGTAACCGCATGGTGACTTAGCATAGCGAGAGGGAGCGGCTGCCGGCGTCTACCGGCCGTGAGTCGTTGTAATTCTGATACGCT